ATGGATCATTTAAATGTTAATTTTACTATTATCTGAAACTAGGATAAATGTCACAGTCTAGAATTGTAGCTTTTGTTTCTGATTCTTTCCAAAAAATTAATTAATGCAATACAGTGGTGCTATGGTGCATCTGTGATTATGATCGCTAGACATATCACATAGATAGATAGATGATAGATAATAGATCGATAGATGTTAGATGCATAGATATATGTAGAGAGACAGGCAGACAGATATAGAGAAAGACAGAAACATAAAGAGACACAGAGGCACAGAGAGATAAAGAGAGACAGAAAGATGAGAGATGGGACATATAAAATACCAATTTTTCTTAGCCTATATTCATAAGCTTTTGCACTAACTGCAAGAAAGTTACCTAACCTTATTATTCTCCATAATAATTTCAACTTAAATGTTAAATAATACCAAAGAATCATCAAATTAGAAATTATAAATGAGGTCAAATATACTGTGTTGTACAATTATAACTTCCTAAAAATTTTATTATTATTGTTACTTTTCAGCTGGATACACACAATCACACAATGTTGTAAATATCTATATACATAAAATATATATCTAATATCAACATTCAATTAACATGTGCACATTTTCAGTTTGACATGTACATTTGATTTATTATGTTTTTCTGAGTGTAAATTAATTTTTAAAGCTTGGAATTCAATATTCACCATTTCTTTTTAATAAACTTTCTTATCACATAAATAAAATGCAATAGATGTTTTATAGTTTGGCACAATTATTGTTATAAGATTTGATATACATGTATATATAAAGATGTACTTATTGATATAGTAATTATTTTATACAATGGTGAAAAACACCTATATCATAATTGATATATCTGTGTATTTTCTACATTCATACACAAATACTTTTTTCATTTGATATATTTATATACAGTACTTTTATGTACCCCGTGGATCTATGCTATTGCAAAACAAAAAAGTATTTATCCCAGTATTTAGTGAAGATGAATGATTTTTCATTGTAATTATAGTATAATTAAAAGATAAACCCATGTCTATAACAATAATACTTTTTCAGTAGCTATTAGTAGATCTAGTTTAGAGATTAAATTTACCATAGAGATTATCTTCTCTTCTTTCTTAGCATGTCAAGATTTCATGCATTTTCTGCAAAATTGAAATTATAATTATACATGATAACTCTACCCAATTCTATGTAAATACGTTCTTATGATGTGTTACCACTGATATAACTTATGTGACTTTTTCTAACTTTAATCTATGAAATTCATTATAGCAAAGCATGTGAGTGGTGTAATGATTTGTGTCTAGGTGTCCCCTAAAGCCTCACGCAGTCATGGGTCCGACTTCTG